GGAGACCTCATAGCAGCCTTCCAGTATCTGAAGGGGGCCTATAGGGATGCTGGAGAGGGACTCTGCATTAGGGACTGTAGTGATAGGACAAGGGGTAATGGGTTAAAACTTAAACAGGGGTAGTTTAGATCGCATATAAGGAAGAAATTCTTTACTGTTAGGGTGGTGAGGCACTGGAATGGGTTGCCCAGGGAAGCTGTGAATGCTCCGTCCCTGGCGGTGTTCAAGGCCAGGTTGGACAGAGCCTTGGGTGACATGGCTTAGTGGGAGGTGTCCCTGCCCTTGGCAAGGGGTTTGGAACTGGATGATCTTAAGGTCCTTTCCAACCCTAACTGTTCTATGATTGTATGATTTTAAAAAAATATAAAGACACTTCAGAGAAAGAAAATAGTGATCTCTCACCATGCATTATATTTGAAACAAATCTCAGCTTCCTAATTTCACTGGCTCAGGTTTCATCCAGGCCACAGACCTGGGGATACACCTGCACTCTCAATTTGGTTTAAAAGAAAAAGATTAAGGTTTTCATAGCATCACAAAAGAAATGTGATGTGTGTGTGAAATAACCACTTCTTCCCAGAAGCCTTTTAAGAACAAATTGCATTTAGAAATATTTCAACAGTTTGAAGTTGGCTTAGGTGTGGTTTACACATCATCAGATACTCAGCAAGTCATGAAGATTAGAATCACAGAATCATAGAATGGTTTGGTTTGGAAGGGACTTTCAAAGGTCATCTAGTCCAACCCCCCTGCAATGAGCAGGGACACCTTCAACTAGATCAGGTTGCCCAGAACCACATCCAGCCTGACCTTGAATGTCTCCAGGGATGGTGCAACCACCACCTCTCTGAGCAATCTGCGCCAGTATTGTACCAACCTCATTGTAAAGTATTGTTTCCTCACATCCATCTTGAATCTCCCCTTTTTTAGTTTAAATTAATTTCCCACTTAAAATTTCCTCATGATCTAGGAAAATACTGCAGTTTAAAAAAAAAAAAAAAAAAGGCACATACCTTCATTTGGTACAAGAGAGTGCAATTCTACTGAAGCCATCAAACTTACTGTAACATCATCTGAAATTCAGGCCCTATACTGATGTATATCGTAGTAGGATAGGATCTATCCCGTGAGGAAAAAAAAGGAACATATAAGAATATTTTAAGTGTTTATTCTAACAAAGCTTGATGTGGAACTTCAGTTCTTCTTAATTACCTTTCATACTACACATCTCTATTTGTGACCCTGAGAATTAGTACCATTCGTCTTAGCCTTGGCAGACCGAAATTAAACATGAGGCACAAACAAGGGTAAGCTAATTTTTAACAAATAAAAAGTATATATACTTTGTGGTGTTTTTTTTGTTGTTTTTTTTAAGAATAGCTAAGGGATTGCAAAAATGTGTAAATAAAAAAAAATGTTCTCTTCCCACCCTATACAGATTTGCCATTTCTGTGTTCTTACATGCTCCTTTTATATAGTAGCCTTATATAGTATTTTGTATTCTTTGTGGCTTTTGCATTTGTTTATAAATCCAATCAGATTTACCACTCAGAAGGTAATCACAGTGGTCAGGCCAAAAGCTGTGATCTAAACTGGACTACTTAGGTGTCAAAAATCCTCTTGCTGACAAAAAGCTTCCTTACCCTTGGTAACTACACTGCTCCATCAGTGAAGTCTTAAGCCATCAGCTCAAGAATATACTTGATTTTCTGTCTCCTGAGTTCCTAAATCACTTTGATAATTTTTATACAATTTTTCCAAAGTCAGCAGAAGACAAGGAGAAGACTCCTAAAATGAACGAGATGCCATTTGTTTATTCTTTTAGCAACAATACCTGCAGTCTCAATAAAAAGCTCAGAATTCTCTCATGTCACTTTCCAACAGCCTTAAAAACACTAACCATTCCATTTGATGGCTCCTTGTTCAGTCTGTGGTGCTTACAGCACACATGATCGTAACCCAAGCATTTTGTTTTCAAGTGCTATAAAGACCTGGAAAAACCATCACCGCACTGCACACCTACCATAGCTCTTTTTCAGCACACTCTAGAGTACAAAAAAGTACAAAACTTCAAACCCCCTGATGCATAATGGTATTTATCAGCAGACAGAATCTATCTATAGAGACACATAAATGTTAGGCAACCTGCTACTATTATTTGCTTTTACTTATTTTCCAGTGAACATTTTTTAACTCTGCAAGCAAACTTCCTCAGTATGCCCTTTATATACACCAATGAAACAAAAAATGTCGTGAGTGCTGCAAGACTTTGAGAAAAGAATTGCAAGAGAGTTCCTCTAACACTGTCATGAAAGGTTTCCACATGCACAGTTCAATAACTCCCTGCTTTTAGGCTGCCTCAGCCACCCAGACACTCCGCTGACAGCATCAACACCACTCAGAGCAGCTGAGGTCACCTTTGGCATTCTGAGGTTTCTGGGTTTGTTTGCTTGCTTGTTGATGTTTGCTTCCTTGATGATCTACTCAATTTTAAGAATTCTAGCAGAAACTCTCACATTAACACTGGTATCACAACAGCACACAAATCTGAACTCCTGCCATCCGTCTGATTTACACAGAAAATCTAACTTAAGAATTATTCCATAAGGAAGTCACCCCATGAGAATTGTACCCATTTACTGGTTTAATTCCAGTTACCCAGGTGATAATACATAGATATCCTGACATAAGCCAGCAGGCTCAAAGGGCACCTTCAACATGCTTTTATTTCTAATCCCTTAAGCATGTACTTTTGTTATTCTCCCATCCCACATCTAAATAATAAAAAAGAAGGCTAAATCAAAGGACGGAGAAAAACCAGTCCTAACACATTTCTCCTCAAGAAGACTAATCACTGAAACATTGGAATTCATAAAATTCACAAAAATGGAAATGAAATGTGCAAGGAGAAAACATCTCATCCTGCTCTGCACAGACTAAGCCACAGAATCACAGAATCACAGCTTGGTTTGGGTTGGGAGGGACCTTAAAGCTCAACCAGTTCCAAGGCCCCTGCCATGGGCAGGGACACCTTCCACTAGAGCAGGTTGCTCAAAGCCCCATCCAACCTGGCCTTGAACACTGCCAGGGATGGGGCAGCCACAACTTCCTTCCAAAAGCAGCCTGTCAGAACAAGACAAGGTACTGTTGATAACGGGTTCTATTTCTGGAAGGCCAAAGTCAGTGCTTTTACTGCTGGCTCCTGGTAGCTCACTTTGGACTAAGCAGCAGATTCCCAGGGGAAGCTGCCAGGCTGAGTTAACTGTCATCAGTGGAGCACACATTTGAGGAAGGGAAGGGGACCAGGGGTCACACCATTGGAAATAATAAGAGCTTATATAATTCAGGTAGAAAATGTGGGTTTGGATCTGCAGTCTGACTCTACATCCAGGGCTGCAGGAGCGCTTCTCAGTGCAAAGTGTCAGCACAAGCCATACTGCAGCTCCAGGGTGGGAGAAGAGCCAGGGATGCACTGGGTCCACTCCTGGTGCCTGAGGCACCAGGGAAAGGACGTACAGCAAGAGGGAGCCATGCCAGGTCCCGCAGTCTGGGTTAGATAAGGATCACGTCTAGATGTGCATCCACAGGCCACTTTATGATTTAGTGGGCTTCTTTTTCTTTTTGAACATAGGAATAAGTGCAGGCACTGCTTGGTAATGTAATTCTTAGAGCGACTGGGCACCTTGGAGGGATGATGGCTGCCTCTGACTGTGCTTTTTCTTTTATCTTGATTTATCTTGATAACTAAAACAGTTTTCAGTTAAAACACTTGAAGCTAGCAGCACAAAAGCTGGTTGCAGCAAAAGTTTTGTCTGGACAGGAGAGGAACACTGACAACTGCTTTATGCTTTGATGCACACTGACTATTTCCAACAAATCAAAGTATGACTTAATCTGCTATTGAACCTGCAAGAACATAATTTTAAAATAAAGATTTTGCTTTGGGGAAGAAAGGAAAGCATCTAATGATGAAAACTGTCATTATCTGGGACATGAGGGAATTTATATGATAGACTGATAGATAATTACAAATGGTAAATGGATTACTTTCAGGAGCCTTTGTTAACAACAGAAGCAGAACTGAAGGGCCTCTAGTTCAGTGTTGGCACAGATTTTCCTGAAAAAGAGGGAAGTATTATGTATGTTCATATACTCAGTCAAACTCCTTCCAGTGGCTTGCCTCTTTCTAGATGCCATTTTTAGATCTTACAATCAAATAATGTTTAAAAATTTATATATTAGAAAATATTTATCAGATCTGTTCTACTCTTTCATAAAGTCTGTTGTTAAAATATGCTAAAACAAAGCTGCTCAGCAGAAAAGAACTTGGGGGTACTGATTGCTGGGCAGCTGAACGTGATGCAGTTTGTGCCCAGGCAGCCAAGAAGGCCAACAGCATCCTGGCCTGTACCAGCAACAGTGTGGCCAGCAGGGCCAGGGCAGTGATCATCCCCCTGTACTCAGCACCAGTGAGGCCACACCTCAAATCCTGTGTTCTTTTCTGGGTTCCTCGGTACAAGAAAGACATTGAGGTGCTGGAGTGGATCCAGAGAAGGGCAACAAAGCTGGTGGAAGGGTCTGGAGCACAAGTGTGATGAGGAAGGGCTGAGGGAACTGGGGCTGTTTAGTCTGGAGAAGAGAAGGCTCAAGGGAGACCTTACTGCTCTCTATAACTACCTGAAGGAGGCTGCAGCGAGGTGTGGGTCAGTCTCTTATCCAAAGTAACAGGTGGTGAATATATTCAAAAACTGTGTAGATGATGCCCTTATGACATGGTTTAGTGGTGGATTTTCCAGTCCTGAGGTAATGGTTGGACTTAATGATCTTAAAGATCTTTTCCAACTTAGTTGATTCTACGATCCTATGCATTTCACTTGTGATTGACCATAACAAAACAATCAAGACCTCCTTCTGTTTACCACACAGAAGTAGCGAGTGCACTGATCAAGTTGCTTCATGTACCAGTGTTAAAAATAAAAGAATTATCACTGAACTCTTACCAAAGCAGGAGTTGACAAAGCCATACCATCTACAACCATGCTCCCCTCCAATCCATTTGCCATGTATGTTAGATGCAAAACTAAGGGTAGTGCCAGAGATGCACACTAACATATCACTGATACTGATATTCATCAGAAGCATGTTGACTGGGTTACGGAGGGTTTTAAACTTGCAGAAGAGGATGAGGACAATCAAGTTATTGAAGAAACCAAAAACAAAGATGAACCCAAGAAAAACAGCTACTACTATGTGCCCACTTCGTGCAAGGCCAGCCCTTGGCTCAACAGGATCTGTAGATGCACCAAAGCTCAGGTTGTATGTCCAAGTGTGGTTCATTTTGCACTTCAACACAGATCAGTAAGGGCAGAGACACCACTGCGCTGAAATCCTCCAGCAGTTTCCCAGAAGCATTCCTCCATCACAGGTCAAATCATCTCAGAATCTTGCAATCTTCACTCAGCTGAGATACATCTTAGATGGTTAGGCAAGTGTGAATAACAGTACTGCAGTACAGGAGTGTTTTCCTGCACTGTGCCTTTCCAGCGGTCAGCTCTGCAGCTAACTCCAGGGCAGCACGACCAAGAAAACAATCACCTCAAGTTTATCTCTGCTATTGTTCATGTTAATCTTTTCTGAAGCTCAGAATGGAAGGTGTATTAAAAAGGTGTTTCAGCATGTCCTCCTTCAGAGCAAAGGGACAGCCCTTCCATCAATGGGCAGCTACCGCTGTTTCCTCTGACAGTGGGTGCCTTTCTGAAAATACAGAAGGAAACAAAAGGTAAAATCAATTCTTTGCATATGAAGATCAAAAGTAGGTACATAATTTACTAGCAGTTTCTCCCTTTTTAACCTGTAAGAAAGGCTTCTAGTCTTTTCAGTTTTTTCTCTGTTTTTCAACAGAAAAATCAGTTTGTTCATATTTTATTTGTTGTTCTAAACAGTTTTTCCCTAGCTCAGTTTAGCCTGGAGAAGCTTATTTGCACCTTCCTATCAAAGTTCCTCAGGTGAGAAAATGCATGGTAAGACATATCTTTTGCAGTAGCTTCCAAGAGGAAGAATTGTTTCTTCCTCCACATTAAGCCAATCCACACCAAGCAAAACTTCAGTCTTGGCTAGACCTTAATTAAATGAAAAGAATTTCAGGATAAGGTGAAAGCATTTTTTTACCTAGAAAGAATGATTTCAAGCATGGTCCCTGAAGTTCTCATGTGTTTACAAACGCCGGCAGAGGTGTGATATCAATTTCACTTCTCCCACATTTACCAGAGGACAGATGTTCTCCTTCATTGTTTATAAAGCAGCCAAACACCCAAAGGCTCACATCTCTCTCCCACCACAGACATGAATTTTTATACCTGCATGCAGTGAATACATTGTGTGTGTATTGTGTGAAGCAAAAGCAGAGTGTTTAATGTAGATGCATAACTGCTTAGCAAGCCCTCTACATAGTTGCAGGCAAATTTTTCACAGAAATTTCCACTAAAATGGAGATGGACATACATATGTAGGGAATTCATCTCCTCACTGCAAAATGCATGAAACCCATAGCTCGCTGGGCTAATAGGAAAACTTTTCTTCCACGTGTCATTGGCTTCTAGAATGATTACAACATTTTAACATGCAAGCATCTTCTATATTACACCTAACCACTGCTTTTTGGAAATTGTCTTCTAGAAAAAGATGTGTTTAACCAACTGGAAACGTCAGGGTTCAAAGTTTATTAAAGATGCAGAGGTTGTTTGGGTTTTTCTTCTATCATACCTTTGCGTCATTGTGAACATTTATAGCAAGTATTTCTTCTTACTACTTTCCTGCTGTCACAGACTCACTGTGCTAAATATGTCTCATTACTGCAGTGATTTTGAACTCCACCGTATACAGTCTGTCTTTACTGTCTCTTCTGGTGAGTAAATCATGTACACTTTGCAGACCTTCTACTGTTCGATCAACAATCTGAAGTACTGATGCTCTCTGCTTTTTTGCCCCCGTTCAGGAGGTACGTGGTAATTTAGATTGACAATGGTCTCAGGTAGTATATCTAACAGAAAGAACATACAAAATCCTCTTTCTACAATTTTTTAATAAAGAAAAAACAAAACAAAACAAAAAACCCAGAACAAAATAAAACCAGAAACCCCTGACCAATTCCAGTACAGGTTATAGAAGGAAACTAAATGGGACTGCCAGTATACCTTAAATTTACCCATAATTCTGTTTAAAAGAGCTGAGTTAACATTTAGTGGGTGAAAAAGCCCCACAGATCAAATAACAACTGATTAAAAAATACAATGCTGAGTATTTCTCAGTCACTAATTGTGTGACTGAAAAGGCAAATAGCTGGATGGTTTTGGTGGGGAAAAAAGCATGGTGGCATTGTGCTGAAGGAGAGCAGAAGGAAGAATTCACAGGAAAACAAGACATACACCGAAGTAAAGTCAATAAGTAACCACTTGTAGATCTTTTTTGTAATAATTCTGCTTACACCTCAGTTTCTACTAATCAATTCTTTCTCCACCACTTTGATAATGGAGAAAGTTTTGTCTCATCTGGTTGCACATCATGACTGTTTACTGAGGAATAAAATTAAGGACAGCCCTATCTTCTCCTCCCTTCTGCAAAACATACTGCAGAATCTGGCTTCAAAATCTAGAGATTTAAGTCTGATTTACATGCAAATTAATTTCAGTGAGACAATTTTTCTTTTTTCCAATCTGAACTGTTGACACCTAGATAATTAGTAACAAAGATAACATTATATCACCATAGGTGTTTCTATGTGGGAATTAATTTTGCCAGAACAATCACAGCAAAGGGTCTGAATAGTATTATCATTAAAGCATCACAGCCTTGGCGTTAGACAAAGCCAAAGGTTATAATCCCCTTGGCAAATATGACTAACTTTATATATGTATCTCTATTAAGCTGAAAATATAAATAATAAAATGTAGATCTTCTATACACAGTCTCATGCATCCTGCATTCTCCAAGACATATCAAGAGCTCATATTTACAGTACTTATAAAGTACATTTTCTCCCTGGATGGCATTCAGCTGGCTGAAATTTAGGAGGCTGACATCATGCGTGCAGGCACAGCCCAGTGCCCCGGTCATTTCTCCACTAACTGCAACCCATCTGGCTTCAACAGGACCAGTTCTGCCTTGATGCACTGGAGAAAGATACCTCAACACCAAGGAAAGAGGAGCAGGCCCTGGATTCAGTGAAAGATACATTTAAAACATTAGTATGCACACTGAGAATGTCAAGCTATGCGGCCTCCTGAAATCAAAAAATGACAAAAAAGGTGCATGAACATGTGCTTTGGAAAGTTTAGGGTGAATTTAACAGACAGGGGTCTGCAGAGAAAAATGGCTGATGATCTAGGCTGTGTGGGAATAAGTCTCTCATTAGTAGCTCAGGTATAAAGTGTTACATTTTTTACACCTTTGGACGAAGTACAAGCTAAATTGAGATTTCAACAAATCCCACAAGGAATGGGTCTAATTCTTATCTGATGTTAGTATGCAATTGAATAACACGTGAATAACACTGAATAAGACCTCTGTCCCAAGGTTCACTTGTCTTTTTCTTCCTACAGACGGATAGCTTGGTTTAACAGAGGTTACTTTGCAATTCTGACAACTGCACTCCCCAGGTCTCCATGATCTAGCAGGACATCTTGAACCCTCCTAATTTCTAGCAAACTCAGGAGCCTGCAGCACTCAACTCTGCCTAATTCTGCCAATTCGGCTTCTCAAAAAACGTTAAGAGAATCCAATAAAACCTACAATTTAATTCAAAACAAATAAATAAGCATCCAGTTTGCTTTCTTGAATATGTCTGAGTTGACATGGAATGGAAAACATACCCAAAGTGATACAAAACATGTGGCCAGGTGAAATAGGACAAAAGTTCATTTAACGTCACCAGTTATTAAATGCTTCATCTGTTAACTAGTTCTGACAGTAGTAATCTAAAGACACAGCAAAAGAGACACCCATCACTGCTTGCACTTTTCTTTGGAGCAGTCTGCTGGAAAAAAAAGATTTTACATCAGCTTCTGGGAACACAGGCATTACACACTGAGGGTGCAAGGCTTCTTTTTGCACTTGTCACCACGCATTACTCTGAGCAGCATCCTACACCAACGAAGCTGCTTTTTCTTTCTCGCTTTGCCCCAAAATAAGTACTAATTTATCGAACATGTTAGCTTTAAGGGTCAACGATTGTTTTGGCTTTTTTTTTTTCTAAAATGAACTAATTTATTATTTCTAACTGGCAGATTCTTTACCATCTTCCCTTGCAAAGTTGTGCAACATGCCAGAAACGATGCTTAATTCACTTCACATAGTTAACAGCTGCTGAAATTGTATAAAATAAAGAAAAAAAAAATCAAATGTCAAAATCATATTGCTAAAAAACATGACTCTCTTACATTGTATTTACATTACTTTACATTTACATATTTACTTGTATTCTCTTCTGATACAGATGATCAGTAAAAAACCTTTATATTTACAAATACACACAGCTTTAATCAACCTGTTGTTCAGTTCATATCAAAATCCATTCAAAACAGCCATTTCCCTTCATTTATGAACCTAGCTTTCTACTGAAAAATCTAAGGTAAGAAAACAAACAAAAAAAAAAACACAAAACCAACAGAGTATTTCAAAGACAATTCAGGATGAAATTCTGTGAAGGAAGAATCAAATTTTTTGACCTGATGACAGAATTACAGCAGGAACACCATTTTTTTAAGTTTTTATACACTAAACCTTGTTTTCCGGATAAGAAACTGAACTATTTTTAACAGGAAGCCTCCAAAACAGGAGGTACCACCTAACAGAATTCCTTCAAACACAGCTGAAAGTTGTGGGATTGCATGAGACTTCACAACAATGATGACAAAATTCCCATCTGTTCTGAACTTTTTTCCATGCTCTAAGTCCCTAAGTCCCACACAGCAGGATGCCAAGAGACCTAGAGGTAGGTCTTTAGAAATAATGCAAAAGACCAAGAGGAGGCTCTGTGGTCCAGATGTTTAAGTATCTCCCAGCTCCCAAAAGCTGCTATTTGTGGGAGAACCACTTGCATGCAGATCTACAGGATTACTTTCAGGAGTTCACATTCATGAAACAGACAGGAAAATGAGAACAACGTAAGTGCAGAACAGAATAATAGAATGGTTTGGATTCGAAGGGACTTTAAAGATCATCTAGCTCCCTGCCACAGGCAGGGACATGGGATGAAGTCCACCACATTTGAAAACCACAGTTTACTCAAGCAAATTCTAACAGCGTGGGAAAAGGGCGTGAGACACCCCTTAACTGTTGCTTTTGAAATAAAAGCTACTTTCATGGAGTACTTTAAGGTTAAGGCAATCCGTCCCATGTGTGAAGAAGGACTTTTTTTTCACGGAAACTTCCACGTTCACAGCAACTGAGCCAGTCCCTCTCGGGATGGCTGCAGCAGAGGCATCACAGAGCACTTCCTAACGCCCCAGCTCCCCCCAGGCTTTTAAACCTTGCATCAAGCCAAAGCCTTTTCAGCCAATCTCAGTTTATGACTTCTCCTTCACAAACTTTTCCACACTCACCGGGGTTGACTAGCACAGAAGTTCTTCTGCAAGAAGAACCTACCTGCGTCTATCATCCTGAGCACCCCAAGGTTAAAAAGCCACCTTAAGTCTCCTGCAAAGTCGTCCTGAGCGGCTGGGCGCAGAACCCCGGCTTCTGCTGCAAGCCCCGCTGCAGCCCGACCGCCCGCCTCCCACAGATCCCCCTCCGCGCCCGCGGAGCCGCGGTTCCCGGGCTGCCTGCTGGCAGGGCGCTTACTTTCCGCGGGGTGGATGCGGTGGGCTCGCCCTACCCGCACGTTTCCTTCTCCTCCGCCCCTCCCAGGCGGGCTGAGAAAACATCCAAGTTCAGGATGGCGGGGAGAATAAACAGGGTCTTAGGGTTTTCTAAATGAATCAAACGAAGAACACCGGGCTACAGCTGGCACCGCTCCCGTCCGCGCAGCACCGCGCTCCGCCCGCGCCGGGGCGGTGCTGCAGCCAGAGCCGCCCCCCGCCAGGGGTAAGGTGCTCCGGAGGGGGGAAGGAAGGGGCTGTAGTATGCGGGGTGCACGGTCCCCCGCGTTGTGGGAGCCCTCTGGCTGCCCCCTCCCTGCCACAGGGGTGCTCCCCTCCTGCGCACCCCCCAGGGTCTGCAGGGCATCGTTGGTCGTGACGCATGAGTGCACAGAAAGGTTGGGCTATGCACTCTCCTTCGCACTCCTAGCGCTACCAAAGACTTTTCTTTTCGTTCAGCAGCAGGTCAGGAATTCAATTTAAAAATGTGTCAAAACCATAACAGAGACGTCTTGTGCGTACTTGACTGGTCATCTGCTCTGTCTGTATTTTCCGTGGTCATCTTTGCGCTTTAAGCATTTACAGATTGAACAAGCACTATGGTGGTTGTGTGCTGAAATCTGCGTTTTCAGACTTATGTGTATCACAGAAACAGCATATGGCTTGAAAACTAGGTAGTACTATGTCATTCTGTTACTACTGCTACTACTCTTCTAGACTCTACTGCTCCAGTCTTTCTACAGGAGAAAAAAAGTCACTGGAGAATGAATTACAGAATTACAGGCATGAAATTAATAATTTTCTGGGATGTACCTGGTTTACCTACAGATTTACCTACTGGTTTACCTACAGATTCTAAAGATGCACCAAAGTTGTGTTACAGAGAAACATTTCCCAGGGTCTGAAACTAGACAGAAGATCCCAGCTGCTGCCTGACTCCACAGCGTGTGAACACTGGTTGTGGTCATGTCCCTTCTTCCTTCGCTTAACTAGTCCCAATGACCCCTCCCCCTTAGGGTAACTGAGGCATACTCCAGCTTCAGGAGCACCACATAGCGTACCTAGGCAACCAGCAGGACTAGATGTTTTCTCTTTCCAGTAGCTTTCTTTCTGAAGATTATAGTAAATTTCGACCGTTTTTTCTGTAACTTTGTACTTCAATAAATGCTGACTTCAGATTATTTTGAAGCTGACAAAGAGGGTGCTTTTTCTATTCACAACTCATGCTGAGTCTTCTGCCATCAGCAGGTAAGGGGAAGGCAACAGAAAAGCTTTCAGAAATCAGGCACAAAGTTAGAAGTGCCCTCAGAAGGCATGTGACTTCAGGTAACACAGACATCTGTGCTTCATTTCACTGTTGTAATGGGGAAATGCTGCACTAAAGGGGAAACCAAGGCAGGAGAAGGAACTTTTTGTTCAAAAAGGCAGAGTGGGAACTATGGAGGAAGCTCAGATTGCTGTTTGAGCTTCATCCAACTTCCCCTACTTTTATGCTGGGGGTGAGCCTGCATGCATTGGCATTGCTGACACTGGTCCCAGGAAGACAGATGTTCAGTCCAGTTGCTGATTAAAGAACAAAGACAGGAAAGAAAAAAAATCAAAGGTCTACAGAACACAGGTTAGGCACTCTGCCTAGCTGCAATTGGCTGACAGAGCCTTTCCCCAACCAAACTCCCTTGGGGATGTTCTCCTTCCTGCCTCATTGCCAGGGCATACCCTGTATTACAGGCATTTTGCTCTCTGCGCTGTCAACTCCATCGCTCCCAGTGCTCCCACTGGAAATCAGATGAGCTACAGCCTCACCCAGAGGCTTCTGTTTTCCTTATTCCTGGCTGCAACAAAGGTGGCTCAGAGACAAGCAGGATTTGGGGCTGTTACTTTGCAGTATGTCAAATAATAAAGGCTCAAGAATGATACCAGAGTCCCTCCGACAAAAAGGACTTTTTAAACAAAGGCTTGGTTATTTGAGCCCTCAGCTTGAACTGCCCTTAGGGAGAGAGGTGTGTGCCTGTGTGCAGATGCAAGTGACAGTGACAAAGAGGAATATTTGTGATGCTCACTGTTCCGTATTTAGCTCCAAGCACATCTGTTCATCATGTACCCAGGATTAATGCTATCCCTAGACAGCCTCCCTAACAGTCTCTACTACAGCCTCTTCTTCAAAGTGAGCCTACAGTGCAGCAGTTCTCCTCATCAGCTACATCTGTTTCCCAAACTCACGTCAGTCCCTCTTGCACATCAAGGAATCTTGTGTCCACCTTATCCAAGTCCTAGGGGCTGCAGGAGGCTAAGACACGGATGCAGAGCTCTTCACCCTTGCATCACTTTCTGATCTGATTTTCCTTTGAGAAAAGATTTTTTCTAACATGATCTCCAGCTCAGCCAAAATCTGATCTCCCCCTACTTATAAGACCTGGCAGCAGAAACGTTAATGGAAAATACTGTGTAATTTGTCAGTCCAAGCTAGCAATGCACACAAATGTCAGATGCTCCACAGGTAGAAGGTAGGTCACTGGGCTGTTTCGTATTTCTGAATGTTCTTGCCAAAGTGCTACGTCTTTTCATAGCAGTTACCACTTAGCAGTTCTTTGAATCAAAGATGGGTTTGTTTTTTTTTTTACAGCAGTTACATTTCATACTGTGTCCTGGGTTCAGCAGTAGCAGTCATGTTTCTCCTTCTTGGTAGCTGGTGCAGTGCAGTGTTTTGACTTTCGGCCTGGGAACAGAGCTGATAGTGATGTTTTGGTTTGGCCAAGGACTTTGTGAGCCTCATGCTGTGCCAGGGAGGAGGGGAAGCCAGGAGGAAGCAGAGACAGGACACCTGACCCAAACTGACCAAAGAGGTATTCCATACCACAGCACGTCATGCCCAGGAGGTAACTGGGAGTTAGCCGGAAGGGCTGGGAGACTGCAGGGTTGGAGGAGGTATCGGTCGGTGCTTGGTCGGGCTGAGGGGGGGGCAAGTTATCGGTCGGCTGGTGGTGAGGTGTTGTATTCTCTTCCCTTGTTATTTCCTTTATCATTATTATCATTGGTGGTAGCAGTAGTGATTTGTGTTATACCTTAGTTACTAAACTGTTCTTATCTCAACCCGTGGGAGTTGCATTCTTTTCGATTCTCCTCTCCGTCCCTCTGAGAGCAGGGGGAGGGCAAGAAAGGGGGGGAAGTGAGCAAACGAATTACCTGACTGGGTTTAAACCACGACATACTGGATGTGAGACTCATACTTCCTTTAACCAGCAATGTTTTCAGCAGGAGGGAGGCAGCTGTGGAGCCCACCAAGATCAGAATTAGATATACAGAAGAAGAATGGACAACGGTGGATAAAAAGATCAGAGAAGGATGAAATTTTGTGTCTTAAAAGATTGGCATGAGCCTTAATTTGTTTCGCAGATTACCTGGTAGGTGGAAGGCTACGTCTGTATTACAGCAGGAAATTGGACAATTGCTCTCGTTCCTGTCATTCTAGCTGTTTTGCATAACAGCTTTTTATAAGTGACACTGACTTGGCCATCAGCCGTCTAGGCCTGGCTGGTTCTGTACAAGCCCTGAAATATTTGCTGCCATAGTTCCACTGCTGACCTGCACTAACATGCTTAAAGCCAAGGTCCATTACTTCTCAACACTGGTCAGGTGCATTTTACAGCAGACCACTGCCCACTCCAATTTCTCTAGGTTTTCTCACATGTATAGGATTCTCTGGGTTTGTCTGAGCTACAGAGCCACACAGACCTTCCATGCTGTCAGGTCCAAGAGTATATCTTGTTCAAGTCCCAAATCCACTTGAGGGTGCAACTCAGCCCACAGGTCTTTTAACTTCTCCTGTACCTTGGTTTAAGAGAACTGAACATATAAATTAGCTGCGTATCCTGAATTACGCCATTCACATCCCTGAACTGGACAGCAGGGAGCCTCAAGGCAAGCTATGATCAGCTGAAACACAGGCTGATGCATGTCAACACCATGACTGAGTAGTACTTGTGTGATAAAGATGGTGGGAAAAAGAGCACAGGGGGTTGGTTTGGGATCTGTCACTAAGAATTTACTGGCTGCTGTTACTGCTTGTTGTCCTGGGTGATATAGAGGGTCATGTCCATGATCAAGACTTAAAAATTGGACTAGAGGCACAATTTTTTCCTTTATGTTCTTATTGATGGGCACCATATTTTTATCATTATTTCCTTAGTAAAAGGAGAGAGAGGCTTATTGTTGGGTTTGGTTTTTGTTTAATTTTTTTTCTTACCTAAATCTTTAGAATAATGTGTGTTCTGTAAGAATAAAAAAAAATCATTTATAAAAGCTTTCACTTATTTAAAGATGTTTCAAACTTATTTAAAGATAAATAAATTAAAACCCCATTAGAACTGATCCATGAAAAGTATAAAAAAAGAACTTCAAAGTTACTGGGTTTATATACTATGCCTTTTTCTAAAAGGGCGCCTAAAAAAAAAAAAAGTCCAGTAATGTAAGTAAATCTGGAAGACTCAGAGCTAAACAAAGTCGAAGTAACTATAGGTTTTAAAATGGAATAACACGCAACAAGCCCAACAGTGGATATACTCATTTGATTTATGCACACATAAAAAAAGATCCATTTTGTGTAGTTCTGAGAACTTCATCAATATTCAAAGAATATGGCTAGAGACTCAAAATTATTAGCTAGGGAATTTTTGTGTCTATGAAGTCAGAAGCAGAATCTTTATTTCTAGAGTGCTGTCCCATTTTTTACTCTTTCTTAGCAATTGGTCGTGGAGTAGTTTTTCCATCAACATACTCTGTTTTCTGGAGGGTGAAAACGATTTCCATCCATTTTAAAGCAAAGCACAGTCTGTCAAAACATAGTAACAAGATTTCCCATGCAACACAAA